ATGATATGAAATGATATTAGCCCAGACTCTTTTTTATATACGTTTTTGAGTCACATTAGTGTCTATAGATTATGGCATTTCTGATATATTGAGCACTAATAATCATAAGTATCATAAGTGTTGTGTTGACTCGCAATTATGATTTGCGAGAAAATTATAGACCAAACAAACCATCAAAAGAGTCAAAGCCATGAAATGCGCTGAAGAAAAGAAATACTCGTAAATGAGAGTCAAGTCTTTACGTCACTCTCGCAGTGGTTCTCATAGTCTTGTAATAGTTGGCCCACAATACCGGCTATAATACAAGAAAAGTCGACATAAAATACATATTAAAATCGATTTCTAGCTCAAAACCACTAGCATTTACATACATGTAATAGACATGAGATTTACGATTATAAGAATATTTGTACATTTGGTTATCTGTTGGTGTATTGGTTATCAGAAATTGTTTTTTGATAGGAAAAGTGCTGAATATTTTGCATCTAAATCCTCAGTAAAGAGTAAAACAAATACCTGATTCATACAACACAAGTCACCGTATGTTAAGTGGGAATATAAAACATAACTCTTATCGCGGATTTCAGTGCAATCTTTTGAGTACTTTTTGTTATGTGTGAGTCTCACCTGACACTCGGAAACGATTGCATAGGATTTGTAAGGAAAAAATGTTGAGTACAATATCATCAAGCTGGATACAACAAAAACTAATTCTCTCTGTCTCTTTCGATTCTTGTATTTTTGTTGGCCCTAATGCCAGCACCGGTAGGCACAGCCCATGGAGTGTGCGGTGAGAAACGCGAACGACGACTCGCATTAGCATTAAAAGTAAACCCGATTTTAATTTTAAAGTTAACTTTCAAACCCAAAGCGAGTGCACGACTTGAATGCAGTGCACAATAACACGAGTCGATTCACAACATAATGTGTTGTTGGGAGAGATGCCAGGGCTGGAGGTGGAGAGGGATCGGGAGAGAGAGGCACACAGAATACGAGAGGGAGAGGGAGGAGAGAGAGAGAGAGAGAGATGTGCCCTTTTTGTGCGGCACATCCACCACAGAGCACACCATTTATTAGATAATGTGTTCAAATGTGTTCGTACTTCAACCTCAAGATTTAGCCCAACAAAAGACTTTTAGTGTATGTCTTCGAGGAAAGGCAACTAACGCTAGAAGGATATGGAGATAAACCTAATGATAACGACGTGCAGTATAATAGTAGCGAACATTAGATTTTTGAAACCAAACTTTTCTTTAGACATACATTAAGAACCATAACTTAGGCAACAGTTCTCTCTCTCTCTCTCTCTCTCTCGCTCTCCCATTCTCTCTATCATAATATTCTTAAATAATACGCTCATTATTGCAGTAATACCGGTGCTATATCTAACATTATGTAGATAACAAACAATGGCATGGGAATAGATAGGTAGGGGCACTGGTGACAGGCTGTGTTCCACGTACTCCACCTAAACATTGCATACATTTTTCTGTATCAAGTCATACACTCAACAGATGATCGCAAACCTATCGCAAAGTTTCATCATTTGAATGATTGCACAGAAGTTTCTGCGATTACTAATAAATTATTAGTAATAATAATGTGTGGTTACGAAACACATCATTAGTCTCACAACACTTGATCTGTTTTCATGGTTTTGGATATATTCAAAATTTTAGACTTTATTTTAGAAATTTAATAATTAGCATTTAATTAAAGCTTTGATAAATACCGTATGCAAAAAATGTGGTAGACAGTGTATATGAATCGCATGTTATTTTTTAATAATATTAATATACATTTATTGACAAAAGTATACAAACATTTAAATAGATTCTCATAAATGTCATTATTATAATTTAGATATCAAATGCATAGCAATATAATATTGTATACAAGAATCTCATATTCATTGTAAATCTCGAAATAATAATAAATAATAATTTTATTCCGAAGTCGATATACATGTATATATTTTCTGTAATATCATCGACAAAAAAAACTTTAATTATGATTTGACTTTCAATTTTCGTTTTTCATTATTATTTATTATTATAAGTTTATTTATAGAAATATTTTTTCCCCAAAAAAATGATTATCAATTATAATGTACAAAATGCGATGATATGGTAATGGGATATGATATGAATGAAAAAATTGTTTTAGTCTCGAAAATTCCACTCAAAAATTGTTATATTTGTTGTGTTTTGTTGTTGAAATTCGTATCAAATTACAATCAAAAACTCAAAACTTGACGTCAATTAAGCCGTCCAATACAGGCTAAAGAAATTCATATTTATATATCTTATAAATGTCACCGACATTTGAGAGTTCAATATTAATATCAATAATATATATTTGCTGTGTGTGTGTATATATCAAAAATTGTTTTGAGAAGTAAAATATTTTAATACAACAATAAGTTTTATGAATGAGTGGTTGGTTTAGGTGTATGTTATGTAATATGTATGCCTGGGGTTAGGGATTCGCGAAAAACCGGTGCGCCTCTCAAACTCCGGTATTATATTTTCGTATTTAAATATAATTTGTATATAAAACAGAAACTAATTGTTGGAAACAGAGAAAGATAGAGAGAAAAAATATTTTTGTTAAACTGCTTAACTTTAATTATAAATAATTTGTGAACACAAAATACTATATTCACGTAGAAATTGTTAAGGAATTTTTTTATGTGCAAATCTCTAGAAAATAAGATTAATAATAATAAATATTTGCTTGATAACAACTGTGTGCGCAAAGTGTACAGAGATTATATTTTAATGGCAAAAAACGGCTAAATTAGCAATAATTCAAAAAAGTTCGCTAAAAGGATAACAAACAGTCATAAAAATTAGATTTAACTTTTCAACGAGAAATTACAGATTAAAATATTAAATACATGTTTTTGCGGACTTTTTTGTGTGTATATCTCTGTTGCCATACTCTCTATGAAATATAAATGAACTTATAATACAATTTTCTATGATCCTTTTTTGTGTTTTTGATTAATCGCTATTTGATATGAAATTCAATAAGATTTTTGTTTTTTATGTGCCCTTTGTTTGCACACTAGATTTTTTTCGCTGGATATCTGTGTTTGTATTTCGGACTGAATTTTGTCTGCTTTTTGACGAGAAAAAAGTTTTAGTATTCTTTATGTTTGATTTGTTTTTTAGTAGTAGTGATGATCACACTGTTTGTGCATTTGTTTAGAGAAGGAGAGAGAGAGAGAGAGAGAGAGAGAGAGAGAGAGAGATTACAGATGAATGAATGAATGGTTCGTTGTTTTGGCACAAATTCATAATTTAGTTGTGATGTGTGTCTGAAGAGAAATGTCATTTTGAACACAAAATTTTTCAACTTTTTCTCTTCATTTTACGAGAGAAAAAAATGTTTGAAAAATTTCGATTCGCTTCTTATTTTTGTCACTTATTTTCGTTTTTTGAGTCAAATTGTATGAAACAGTTGTTACGACAAAAAAAGTTTTCATAGAGAGTATCGTTGAGACGACAACTTTCCTCCTCTTCACTCTTCTCTCTCATTCACTACCTCTTCCTCATGAGTCCAACCGATGATTGGCTTTTGGTTTGATTTATGGCAACAACTCCTTCTTCTCTTTCAGTCGCTGTGACCTCTTTTGTGACCTCTTCTGTTGCGACAACTTTCTCTGTATTTATATAATAAGTTTAGTTTAGTTTTAAAAATTGTTTTTTCTCTTACTATTAGTTCGATAGCAAACATGCATATCAATAGAGTTTTTATGTATTTATTATCATTTGCATGAAAAATACGGCACAAAAAATAACAGACAATTGAAGTGAATTGAAATGAAAAGTGAATATAAAAACGAAAAGAAGAAAAATAGAGAGAAAACAATTCGCACACAAAAATAATAGTTTGAAATAAGCGATAAAAATAGATTAAATAAATATTTGTCGAAATGAAGACAAATATACTGCACAATAGATAACATGAAAAACAATATATGAGTGAAAAACTTATATTCTGTGCACAGAATTGTAATAAAAAAAGTACATTTCAAACAACAATCAGAAGGTTATGCCATCGAAAGGGACTCACATTTTCTGAACACATGTTTGTTTCGGTTATTAAAATGCATTAATTGGCAGTTATTTTGGTTTTTGTTGTATCTCTCGTTTTTTGTCGCGGATATGTTAGTTTTGATTCATACAAATTAATATACAATTAATGATTAGTAGGGCTAATAAGCGATTAGATTTGGCGCTTCTGGCGGTGGTTGAGGTGCCTAACCGTCCCGAAAGGTAATTAAAAAACACGCTTTTTATTAATATATTAATACATGTGAATCGATAATATATTGGTTATCGAGCATTTTTATGCAAATATATATAATCCGTGTCTTTAATGATCTGATTATCTGATAGTGTTATCAATTGGGTACTGGACTTACGCCTGGGAATAGTCTGGTGCCACAGCCTGGCAGTGGTAGTCCGTCGACCTATTCGTGCGATTAGATTAAGAGAGCTTTTTATGACTCGAGAAAAGGCTTTTGTGGTCCTATTCAGAGTGGTCGACAACACCGGTGAGTGTGTGGTAGGTCTACCCACTTAACGATTATAAGGGGGACACACATGTATAATGATCCCGGTGTCGACAATTCACTCTGTCGTCTACTGTTTCTTATCTATCTATGACTACAGTGAGAGCACTTACCCCTAAAGGACAGGGGGCATCGAGTCCTGGGACACCCTATCGTATGAATGCACACATAGAGAGAGAATGAGGTTATATTCATATAATGATGGCAATGAGTTATTGGTGCGGGTTATCAGGATATAAGGAAATGCTGGGTGGAAATGGAGTGCACAGATGGAAATGGGTGTCCAAATACCTGATCTCCTTTATCACCCTTCTCTCCGATGGACCCCTTCTCACCTCTACGGCCGGCTTTGCCCTGATTTGCGTGCATTTTAAATGAATGCAAAATTTATTATCTCTAAACTTAAGTCTGTATTTTAGTTTATATGACAACTAATTATAGCAAAACATATCATAAAACTCGTTAAGAAAAAAAACTTATTTAAAGTTTCGCACAAAAAATGCTCATTAAATCATGGAAATCAATAAAACGTCTGCTATTTTAGCTAATGTTGGGCTCGTAAAAGGGTTTTCAAAATATTTGTTCAGAAATCAAACCCCAAATCTCTTATAATAACAATTCATTTATAGACTCTTCTCAATGATAATGTGAATACAAAATAAATACAAGAGTAGGAAAATAAAACGCGAGTGAAAAATGATTAAAAACTAAAATACCAAATGAATAGCAAAACTACATTTTCGCTCAAATGAGAATGAATGGCATTAAAAGCGTAACAAAAAAATCGAAAACATATGCAAATATCTCTTCCCTTTTCTATGTTTTCTTATGGGTTTGTTTGGCTAATGAGTGACGAGAAAAAAGGCAAAAACAAAGTTTTAAAACAATTTCTCGACTGTTAAATGAGCGAACGTTAAGCATAATGAAGCCATTCGCTGTTAAGGCATACATTAAATTGATTTAATTTGGAGTTTCTATTTAATTTGCATCGAAACAAACAAAAATGTTTTCAAAAAATAAGTTTATAAGAGATTTCGAAAGAGAGAGAAACATTAGTATTTAAAAACTAGAAAATGGTTTCAAAGTATATAAAATTACCGGATTTCCGAGTGGACCGATAGGACCCTGTGGTGGAAAGGGGGGAGTGGGGGGCGTACAGTAAAGTGAAAAATGGTTAACATATGGTTCATCATCGTTATAATAAATTCAATAATAAATCATCGATTAAAACAAAAAGCATTAGTAATACTAAATTAACGATAAAATATACGACAAACAAATCAAAGCATTTTGCAAGTGATGATAGTTTGTGGTCACAAAACGGAGTGTGAAGTATAAATAAGTAAGTGATAAAAAACAATGGATAGATGTGATAGTGTCTGTGTGATAGTGTGGATCGGTAGTAGTTGGTATGGTTTTGAGTAACGAACCGGTAAGCCTGGTATGCCATCGGTGCCAGGTAGGCCTGGCTCACCTTTCTCTCCACGCGGTCCCAATTCACCTATCATTCCCTTCATAAGAGATTATATTATAATATTATATTTATTTATTTTTTGCATATAATTATCAGATTAATTACTTGTGAGATAAGAGTATAAAGAGTTTTGAAAAGTTTTTAAAAATCTCGTGTTTTTAAAGCCGTACGTAATAAATCAGTTATTTGTGTGAATAATAAATCATAAAATAATAAAACCATAACAAAAATAATACTATAAAAACCGATTAAATATTGCTATAAAATTGTTTGTAGTTTTATCGCTAACGAAAAACAAGTGATACGTATATAATTCACGTAAAAACATAGTGTTTTACTACGCAAACTATATCGTAAGAGTATTAAATAAAATAATCGGGGTATTTATTAATGATAACGTGTGTTCAATAGAAAATCATAAACTTATTTTCGAAAAACATTTTTATACATCCGTTTGTTTCGTAAAAGAGTTTCAAAAACAAAACTTTTATATCTAATAGTATACGCGTAAGACTTTAAAAGTGTTGAGAAATTATATTTGTTTGAATTGAATTAGGAAAATAAAATTAGAAATATTTATAATAATTTATATAGCGAAATGTAATCAAGGTAATAAAATGGGTTTTCATACTTTGATTCCGTCCAAACCAGGCGCTCCCTAATCATACAGAATGACCACAATATCATACATTTGCAATGCTTTCGAGCACTCATTAATTAATAAATCAATTGATTAATTGAAACAAAAATTATATTATATTAATATTGATTTTTATATGAAATTAGAAAACAAACACAAAAAGCAATACAAATCACTCTCAGCACCGATTCATTTAGTTTTTGGTTTAGTTTAGTTGTTAGAGTTATTTCACTTCAGTTGGTAATTTAATTTATTGAACGCTTTATTAAATTTCAAATAAATTGTGTTTTTTCATAATTATATATTTATATATAATATATTAGTGTAAATAAATGATCTAATAATACATTAGTATATATATAATGGAAAATGTGTTTTTTCATCTAAAATTCATTTCGATTTTCTCTATTAAAAAAATTTTGCGATTGAAATGAATTCAAGAGAAACAAAATGTTAAATAAAAGAGTAGTTTTGCGTAAAAATTATTATTACAATCAAAATTGATTTAATGGTTTTAGTCATTGAAAAATGCATTTCGTTTTCGTGTGTCATAAACATGAAGACATGGATGAGTATTATTATTAGCGGACAAACACATCAAATAAATAGCAGCGGATTGTTATTAGTGTTTTTTGTTTGGGGTTTGGGTTTGGTTTTCATACCATCAGATCGGTGGACGAGGAGGAGGCCGATCCCGACTCCCCTTTCATGCCCTGCAAAACACACCATTCATTGGGTATTATAAATGAGACACTAATTACTCGGCGGCTCTTAATTCAATAGACAATTCATTGTCTGTCTTAATAGGTAGTCATTAATCTCTATACCATAGGTCCGGGTAAACCCATTGGGCCCACATCTCCTTTGCCGCCCTACATAGTGATCGCAAATCATATGATAATCAGTCGCTTATCTAATTTATATTAATGTCTCGTATGACTAACGGGTTCTCCTGTTTGTCCGGCGTCTCCCTTAATACCCGGCGGACCCCTTAAACCCACTTCGCCCTGAAAATAGAAAATAATGGTTAAGATAATGGCTTTCATGACGTGTTTACGAGAGACATACTGGTGGTCCGGGAGGGCCGGGGCGGCCAACCGCCTCGAATCGGTCGCCAAACGCTTCGTAATCTGTTTTCATGAATCCGAGTGATGTCTGAAATGCATTTCACAGATAATTCAGTCGTGAACTTCAATTCAAATCCAAGAACTAATTGATGAGTTAGTTATATATCACTCACAGAGGCGTCTCCTTTGTCTCCGCGATCTCCTGTTTAATCAAAATATAAGAAAAATAGTTTAAAATAAATCC